GTGGTTTATCTTTCATTCATCTAACATCTGGATCATTGCTTCTCAGTATGCATACCAATCACCTGCGTAGGGTGTTAAAATGTGGATTCTGTTATAGCAGTTCTGAGTGAGCCTCAAGAGTCTGCATTTGTAACAAACTCCCAGTGATGCTGCCAGTCTAAGTACCACTCTGAGTAGCAGGGGTCTAGTTGCCAAGCTCTTACCTTCCAATAAGATAGCCTATCAGTTTTTTGAGAGATGGTTTGACTTTTTTTTTTTTTAAGATTTTATTTATTTATCTGACAGAGTGAGAGAGCACAAGCAGAGGGAATGGTAGAGGGAGAGGGAGAAGCAGGCTCCCCGTCAAGCAGGGAGCCCGATGCGGGGCTCAATCCCAGGACCCTGGGATCACGACCTGAGCCGAAGGCAGACGCTTAACCATCTGAGCCACCCAGGCCCCCCTGGTTTGACGTTTTTAAGGATCTGTTTTCGATGCATTTCTGTGCGTTGGGAGTCTCTTAACTTACTGAAGTGACTAAACAGTTTTGTTGGTCTGTGAGCTTGATCTATGTGTAATTTGAATGTTTGTAATAGTCTGAGTGAAGGTCCAAGACAATTCTTGCTAAAATAAAGTTTATTGATATGGTAATCTCACCTGGCTTTCTGGAGATAAATTTTGGCATATTACCAGTTCTCTGTCATAATATCTTTAGGTGGTTAAGTGGGTTAATGAGAAGAAGGCCCACGTAGTTGTTACTCTTTCCTTGGGTAATTAAGACACCTGTTAGGAACACACACACACATACACTGTATCATTGAGTTGAAGTGACACTAAATGACAACTTGAACTTGTAGCTTAAATTTTTGTTCACTGATTTTTTTCGATTAGAACTTTTCATAGCTAGAGTTATGATTGAACTGTTATATAGTCCTAATAGCAGTGATGTGTGGTTGTGATTGTTCCTCATATATCTTGAACTTTGTTGTATTATTGTAACATGGTCATTTTGATACTAAGGAATAAAACCTCTTCATTTAGGCATGAATGTATTTAAGAAAATCAGATGCCAAAAAACTGCATAATAGATAAATGTAAGGATAATTTCCTTAAGAAGGGTTTTCCCTTTAATGAAAATTTCTAAATTTCCATTAACATCTAATATATCCATCATAATAAAATATTGAGTTTATCATGTATCAGACACTGTTTTGTGCTAGGAACAGCACTGAACGTGGTAAATACAGTCTCTGTCGACAAGGAACATACAGTCCAACCTCCTGTATTAAAACTAGAACTCATTTAAAGAGAAATCATCTGAACAATGTGCTTATTGAAAAAAAAAACAAGGCACAAGTCCTGGGTATAAATCTTTATTTCGTTCACAAGTTCAATACTGCAAAAGCCTTGGGCTTCCTTTCAATTATTCCATTAGCTTTCTATTATAAATCCTAATTCCACCTGGATAATAGGCTCATAATCTTGTCCCATTTATTGTTCTGTAACCCCTAACTTCCCCAGTACTGGTCTTAGTTTCTAGAGGCTGTGCCAGTTATCACAATATGGAAAAAAGCGGGAAACCTGGTTTACCTAAGTGGCCATTGAGGTGTTTTCTTCCTGTTGGCTTGGTCATTTTCAGGACAACCAGAAGTTTTCTTCAAAGTCCGGATCATATATTTTTTTCTCGGTGTTTATTCTGCTTGGCATTTTCTGATTTTCTTGATCTTTCATTATTTTTGGAAATTTTTCAGTGATTACCTTCAAATATTTGTCCTGCCCCATTCTTTCCCTCTTCTGAGATTTTTATACTTTTGTTAGATTGTTTGATGTTCTTCAACAGGTTTTGGATGCTCTGTTCTATTTTTGTTTTCCATTCTTTTTTTTTTTTTCTTTTTGTTTCAGTTTGGACAGTTTCTATTGACCCAACTTCAGGATCACCAATTCCTTCGTTAGCTATGTCAAGTCTACTTAAAAAGTTCTTACAAGATTTTCTTTCTCTGTGCTGTGCTTTTTATTTCTAATATTTTCACTTGCTTATTCCTTGTAATTTTCACCTCTCTGCTGAAATTCCTTATCTGTTTATTTATGTCATCCATCTTTTCCATTAGCGCCCATACAGTATTAATCATATTTATTTAAAAAAATTTTTTTTTAAGATTTTATTTATTTGAGAGAAAGAATGAGAGAGAGAGAGAGCACATGAGAGGGGGGAGGGTCAGAGGGAGAAGCAGACTCCCTACCGAGCAGGGAGCCCGATGTGGGACTCGATCCTGGGACTCCAGGATCATGACCTGAGCCGAAGGCAGTCGCTCAACCAACTGAGCCACGCAGGCGCCCCTATTTAAAATTTTCTGTCTGTAGTTCAGACATCGAGCTCATAGCTGAGTCCATTTCTGTTGATTGCTTTGTTTCTTGACAGGCTTTTTTTTCCTGTGTTTTTTTGTCTCGTGTTTTCTGAAAGCTAGATATCATGTGTAGGACAGTGGATACTGCAGTAAATAGTATTTATCCTTAGAAATGGGCCTAGCAGGTAGGCGTTTATAATGGGGAAAGTTGACTTTTTTCAAGTCAGGAGCTGAGCTGAGTTTGGTTTTGTCATTGCTTTGGTTATCCTCAATGGACCACGGGTTTCATCCTGTAGAATTACTTTGCACTTAGGATACAGGTTGGGATGCCGGAGATTTTTTCTCCATGTTTCCCTTCCACTCTCAGCCTTATACTTTCCCCGTGAGTCTTTTTCTGAGGGCGTCTTGCCCCAGCAGTAGAATTGCTGTTACCTTGCAACCTGGTTGGGGGGAAGTTTGGGATGGGGAGCAGCATTCCCTGTTTTCCTGTTTTATGCTTATTAGCCTTAGACAGGCCTGTGTGCGTGGATCTTGGAATTGAAACACTTTTGTTTGCTGGTTTATTTTTCATTACATTCTGTAGTCTTAACATTTTAGATAAAACTATTTGCTTCATATGTATAACATGTTTTTCTTTAACTGTTGGCAGAGGAGACCTTGCCTATTTTGATGGACTTAGTGAGACTATTCTTGCTGTGGGACTTGTGAAACCAAAAGCTGGTAAGAAATAAAAGTGTAATGATTAATTTACATATGTATATACATAGGACTGAATAATAGCACATTTTAACATAGTTGAAATTTTTATTGAAGCTTGGTCTGAATTCTAATTAGAAATATGTAAAGTGATTAGGAATATTTAATAGTTTATTCACTTTATGGTAGAAGTGAGTCTATCTTTAAATTGTTACACTGGTGCACCTGGCTGGCTCAGTTGGTAGAGCATGTGACTCTTGATCTCAGGATCATGAGTTCAAGCTCCACATTAGGTATAGAGCTTACTTAAAAAAAAATACTTTTTAATAAAATTGTTAAAGTATAATATTTGAATTTTGTTTTGCTTATTTTTTGTTAATCATTGTTGATTTACCTGAAGTTGTTTGCATTATACATTTTCATCAGTTACTGAATTTAATGTAAAAACCATTTTTGTCTCTGCAGTTTTTTTAGTCTTGATAGCCCATAGAAATGAAAAGAGTTCAGAATAACTCTTAAAGAAGTGGCAAGTATTGGGCGCCTGGGTGGCTCAGTTGGTTGGGCGACTGCCTTTGGCTCAGGTCATGATCCTGGAGTCCCAGGATTGAGTCCCACATCGGGCTCCCTGCTCGGCGGGGAGTCTGCTTCTCCCTCTGACCCTCTTCCCGCTCGTGCTCTCTATCTCTCATTCTCTCTCTCTCAAAAAAATAAATAAAATCTTTAAAAAAAAAAAAGTGGCAAGTATTGTTTAACAGTTTCAAATTCATTGTGCCAGATTTTTTTATAAGAGCTAATGACAATAGATTGATTTAAATTTAACATACATTTTTTGGATGTATGAGAAATCTTCCTACAATGGGAAATAGTAGACAAAATTGTTTGTAAGAGCTAAATAAAATTTTTTAGTTCACAGCTGTTTTGAAATGATAATTCACGTGGTACAAACATGCAGTCTTATACACTATTTATGTGATTACATTGGAAACTTATTTCCTTAAAATAGAACCTCAAGGTATTCTTCACCGAGGTATGTATCTCTTTTATCTACATTTAAAAGTTTATTCATCGGTGCGCCTGGGTGTTGCAGTCCGTTAGGCATCCAGCTCATGGTTTCAGCTCCAGTCGTGATTTCAGGGTTGTGAGATTGAGCCCTGCATGGGGCTCCACACTCAGTGCAGAGTGTGCTTAAAACTCCCTCTCCCTCTGCTCCTGCTGCCTGCTTGCTCATGTGCGCTCACGCACGTGCTGTCTTTCTCAAAATAAATAAATAAATCTTTTTTTTTTAAAAGTTACTATCTAAAAGTTTATTCATAATAACAGTGGAGGGCTCTCCCTGCTCTGTATTTTAATAAATATAAATTCTCCATCTAAAATAAATAGTAAAATTTTGTTCTCAAATATAAACTTCAGTGCAAAATTAAAATTACGGCAAGTCTTTCATATGACAACAAAGGTGTGATCTTTGGAAGTGAAACAATTTTTCTTTTTTTTTTTTTTTTTCGAGAGAGAGAGAGTGTGCAAGTTGGGGGTGGAGGGGCTAAGGGAGAGAGAATCCTAAGGAGGCTCCATGCCTGGTAAGGAGCTGGACTCTGGGGCTGGATCTCACTATTGTGAGGTCGTGACTTGAGCCAGTATCAAGAGTCAGACACTTAACCGAATGAGCCACCCTGATTATGAAACAACTCTGACTTTGCTATCCATAAGCCCTGAAAATTCTGACTCTCGAACATAAAGCGTTATAACAAAGTTCATATCTTACTTTGCCTGTTGTAAGAAAAAATTTTTTTTTTTTAAGATTTTATTTATCTGACAAAGAGAGACAGAGAGAGAGCACAAGCAGGGGGAGTGGGAGAGGGAGAAGCAGGCTTCCTGCTGAGCAGGAAGCCCGATGTGGGGCTCGATCCCAGGACCTTGGGATCGCGACCTGAGCCGAAGGCAGACACTTAACGACTGAGCCACCCAGGCGCCCCAGAAAATATTATTCTTTTTTTTTTTTTAAAAGATTTTATTTATTTATTAGAGAGAGAGAAAGAGATAGAAAGCACGAGAGGGAAGAGGGTCAGAGGGAGAAGCAGACTCGAGCCCGATATGGGACTCGATCCCAGGACTCCAGGATCATGACCTGAGCCGAAGGCAGTCGCTTAACCAACTGAGCCACCCAGGCGCCCCAGAAAATATTATTCTTAAAGTCATTGTTTTCTAAGTCAAGCTTTTTGGCAAGAGTTTGCTTTATTGGCAAGAAGAGTATGAATACATGTTTCAGTTTTATGGTTGCTTGAATAAAACATAAGAGTTCTTCAGTGTTTTCTAGCATTTGCAGGTTTTTGTCCACAGAGAAATCGACAAGACTTAATCACACTTTTCTGAGTTCAGGGAAGCATTTTCCATGTATTAAAAGATTCACGTGCTTGTCTAGCTTCATTTGCATCTTCCAGGTATGGCTTTGGGACATTATTCATTATAGTGATTATGAGTGATTAGTGATTATGAGTCATTTTGCCTCATCTGTATGACCAAGTAGGGCTGCCACCAAAGTCACATGTGTAAACTCCTTCCTGAAGTTATTCTTGGAATGGTCTTTCCTTGTCTAATACAGTAAACCTCCTACCTCAAGTTCAGTCAGTTCTGGAAAAGTCAGTGGACTTTTCAGTAGAAGAGAAGAACTTAATATTTTCCTATTTCTGAACCAACATCTCTTGAAAAGGCATCAATTCATACTATCATTGTAGTTGCCTTAGAAGTTGAAAGTACCATGGCCAAGTTTTTGTAGAAGTTGAAAGTACCATGGCCAAGTTTTTGGTGCCAAAGCATGCCTTTCTAAAATGCAATGGGTTATGGTTCTGCTGACTTTTTTTATCAAAACAGCAAAAACAGGGGTGCCTGGGTGGCTCAGTCAGTTAAATGTCTGCCTTAGGTTCAGGTCATGACCCCAGGGTCCTGGGATGGAGTCCCACATCAGCCTCCCTGCTGAGCAGGGAGGCTGCTTCTCCCTCTGCCCGTCCCCCTACTCGTGTTCTCTCTCTCTTTCTTGTTCTCTCTCTCAAATAAAATCATTTTAAAAAAAAATAAGCAAAAACGTGTTAGCAAAGGATCCTCAGTGTTCATATTTGTGCACAAGTATTAAACTATTTCTTTCAAAACTTTAAAACTTTTTCATTCAAAAGCAGTGAAACTTTGAACTGTTCCAAAGACCTAAACAACTTAGGTTAATTTCTAAAAAGTGCTAATAAGATGTGTTTTATAGATAAGATGTGAGAGCTGACAAAAGTGAGAAATGTCAGTCATTTAACCTTGTTGCATTCTGAAGGGAGATGGCTTCCATTTCTACCATCTCCTGTTGCAAAATGCTTGAATAAATGATGAGAGATTTTAGAGATCACATCATTTGACAAGACACTGCTTTACTTATCTCCCTTTACTCAAAGCCATAAATCGGCTCCACCATCTATAACCTCACTAAAGTTTCTATAATCAAAGATGACTTCTTTGGCGTAGGCTGTTGACTGAGTACTTAGAGATAAGGCTTTTATTTATTTTTTATTTTTTGTATGGAACGCTTCATGAATTTGCATGTCATCCTTGCACTGAGGCCATATGCTAATCTTCTCTGTATTGTTCAGTTGTAGTGTTTGTGCTGCTGAAGCGAGCATGAGATAAGGCTTTTATTAAGGAAAATCTAAATTTTCATAAATTTCAAGCTTTTTAAAACAACTTATCATGAAATATCAGTTACATTTTGAGTTCATTAGGTAGGAGATCTGTGCCTTCAGCTTTACTGACTTGAACCTTGATACACAAAAGTGGCTTTTATGCCCCTTGATGTTCATCAGTGAAAGTAAAACTTGTTGTACTTTCTATGGCATTTAATACCCTTAAGTAGGCCAAAGGTATACACGTGAAGATATGTCCATAATTGTGACATAAGATATATTTTCTTTTATTACTGTCAGTAAGACACTATTTTTGGATATCGTAACATGACAATGATAATTATACATAGAATCTCATGCCACTGCACACCTTTTAATGTTAAATAAAAAAATAAACAGTACCTTAGCATGAATTAACAAAAAAAAATTGTGTACTTGGTAATGTCCCCTCTTAAACTATATATTATCTGGTTTTGATATATAAATTCATCTGGGAAACTCATTTAGCATAAACTCATTTCTGTTGCTATGAATTTGCCTTCTCCAGGTACCTGATATAAATGGAATTATATTTATCTCTTTGTGACTGGTTTGTTTCAGTTACGATTTTTTTTTCAAGATTTTATTTGCTTATTTTTCAGAGAGAGAGTGCAGGAGTACGAATCAGGGGGGAGAGGGAGAGAGAGAATCTCAAGTAGACTCCAGACTGAGCACTGAGCTCAGTATGGGACTTGACCTTACCATCCTGCGATCATGACCTGAGCCGAAATCAAGAGTTGGATGCTCGACTGACTGAGCCACCCAGGCGCCCCTCACTTACAATGTTTTTAAGATTCATTCTTGTAGTATTGTCAGAATTTTCTTCTTTTTTAAGGCTGGATAATATTCCTGTGTATGTATACATATATGTGTATGTGTACACACACACACCACATTTTGTTTATTCATCTGTTGGTGGACACTTGGGTTGCTTCCACCTTTTGGGTACTGTGAATTATGCTGCTGTGGGTGTTAAGTATACAAATAGAAGGCTTTATATTTTAATAAACTATTTTATAATGTAATGCTGATTTTAATTGGTATTAAATACTGAAGTGTTTCTTTTCTAAGATGGTTTTTTATTACTATCTACTTAAATATTCATAGGTAGTAATATTTTAACATAAAAATTAAATTGAGTTCAGATTTTTCATATACTATTTAATTTTTTTTTTTAAGTAGACTCCACGCCCAACGTGGGGCTTGAGCTAATGAGCCCAAGATCGAGAGTCACGTGCTCTACCAGCTTAACCAGCCAGACACATCCTTCATATAGTATTTAATCACTAGTTCATTTTAATGGTAAAATCATTAGTCTATCAATGCATAAATAGTGGAAGTGGATGTTTTTTGGAATAATACCTAACCCATGTCTGCTTTATCTTAGGCATCTTTCAACCTCATGTACGACACCTCCTGGTTTTGGCAACCCCTGTGGATATAGTGATTCTTGGACTTAGCTATGCTAACTTACAAACAGGTATGGCAAACCACATGTGGTATTTTTAAAATAAAAATATGTTAGCCAATTTAATATAATTAAAAGCTTTTTTTTTTTTCACTAAGTTAACTTTCCAGACTATTTGTTCATAGGAAAATAGTACTTCCCTATAGGTATGATAACTTTCAGGTTAGTAAGCTCCATCAAGCAAGTATTTTGAATATGCTTATCATATTAATGTGCACTCCTTAAATGTACAATGTAAAAGGGTAGTAGAAGAGAAATAATTGACACTAGTGAGTTTTTCTATAATGCTTTTGATTTCTTTGTTTCTGGTTTTTTGAATGGCTGTTTTAACATATGGAACACTGAAATATACATTATTCTTTCCTTTACCATAAGAAGACCTGAATTTATCACTAGTACATTGAATGGTTTCTTTTGCATTCTGGCAATCTGTTTTGGGTGAAATAGTGTTGAATTTCAGTGACTGAAATTAATGATTTAACTATCAAATCCTTGGGTTCTTTCCCAAAATCTAGTAATTTGGGATAGTTTGTTGATTGATGTTTTACAATGTTATGTATATAAAACATATATTATGGATATATACATATTGTAGGTTCTATTTAACTTGAATAAATTGTATCAGACTTTTTATAGTTATTTAAAAGTATATGTTATAGAAGCTTTTAGGTGTGTCAATAAGAATTCAGTAAAAATACCAATTCTGAAGATAACGTAGTGATTGTTTCAAACTTCAAAAATGCTAATAAGCTGATTCAGATTCTTTCTTTAAAAAAAAAATAGGTTCTGGAGTTCTTAATGACAGTATGTGTGGTGGAATGCAGTTGCTTCCAGATCCTTTATATTCTCTTCCCACTGATAATACTTACCTTTTAACAATAACTTCCACTGATAATGGCAGAATTTTCTTGGCTGGAAAAGATGGCTGTTTATATGAAGTAGCATACCAAGTAAGTCTGGCATTTATAAACATTTTTTCCCTCCCCCTGGATAAAGTAGGATAGATTTTACTTTTGTTTTCTAATTATATAAGCACATTAATATATTCTTATGAAAAGTATTCAAACATACAGTTAAAACCATATATAGTCTTGCATGACTACATCATGCCTACAAAACCCAGTCCTCTCTCCAGAAGTAAAATCCAGTTCTGATTATGTCTTTTTAAGACATGATACATTTGATAAGTATCTATAAATTTCTATATGTATGTATTTATATGTATACATATATACAAACACGTGATGTACTTTTGTATGTTTTTCCTTAGATTATTGCTTATGTTTTGTTACATAATAGGCTTTTCACTTAACTGTGTTATGTTTTGTGATTGCTGTACAGTTGTCTATAAATGGATGTACATTATTCACTTAATTCCTTTTTTTTTTTTAAGATTTTATTTATTTGACAGTGAGAGACACAGCGAGAGAGGGAACACAAGCAGGGGGAGTGGGAGAGGGAGAAGTAGGCTCCCCGCAGAGCGGGGAGACCGATGTGGGGCTCGATCCCAGGATCCTGGGATCATGACGTGAGCCGAAGGCAGACACTTAACGACTGGGCCACCCAGGCGTCCCACTTAGCAGGCTTCTATGAATATATCCCACCACTCCCCACTGATGGTAGTATTATCAAACTTACTAATTTTGACCAATCTGATAGAAGGAAATTTTTTTTATTACTCGCTGAGCGAGATCTTTTCATTTATTGGTCATGTATGTTTACTGTACTCTGAAATGTCTTTTTATGTCTTTTCCCTACTGTGTTACTGGCTTTTTTTCATAAGGTAAATGTTAGGAAACTGATAAAGTAATACTCTCAGAGTCATGTGGCTAACTAGTGGCAAAGCTAGGATTACAACCTTGGTCAGCTGTGTTTTTTATATTACATTGTACCTCTTTCTTACCTAGTTTCTCTTGGCTTTGTTCATTAACCGCGCTCCCCCCCGCCCCCCGCCGCCCTAAAGGTTTTGTGTGGCAAAAGTCAGACATTGAGAGGTAAACTGTAGATTATGGTGGCGATGGCTGCTATTAAGATTTCTTTTTAGGGGCGCCTGGGTGGCTCCGTCGTTAAGCATCTGCCTTCGGCTCAGGTCATGATCCCAGAGTCCTGGGATCGAGCCCCGCATCGGGCTCCCTGCTCAGCGGGAAGCC